GTGTGCAGAATGATGCGCTTGAAGCAACACGCCGTGTTGCTTCAAGCGCATCATTCTGCACACCGGATGCGCACATTGTAAGCGCTTCGTGCTCATAGACTGTATAAATACAGTTCGTGCTGCACTGTATTTGTTTTGTCCTATCGTATCTATCACATGTTGTTTCCTTATTAAAAAATATGCTATACATTCAAAAGAAATTTATTTTAATTTTATAGTATATACTTAAACATATATATGAATGTTTTTAATGAATGGCTTTTATAATACAAATAGCAATGTGTAACATTTTACCATATTTAGTGCAACTTTTATTTGTTCCCCACAAAATATTGTTTTTTCACTAAATGTTTGGATTTCTAAAATTATTGTGCACTGATTTTTCTTGAATAACTTTTGCTGCCGAATTATCCACTAACCTAGTTTGATACATTTTTGTCATAGATTATAAATATACATAGGCCTATATTTTTTCATATTTGTTTATTTTATTTTTTTTCTTTATAATGTAGTCTGTATCTAGTAGATTGTGAAAGAATGATTATCAGTTCCACACACAGAGATATATAAATTCTACATTTATTTAAATGAGGGAAAAAAACTTCACTGGTATCGGATCGGTATCAGCCAATACCGAACCTTAGGTATCGGAATCGGTATCGGAGGCGAAAAAGGCGGATCGGGGCATCCCTGCTTATTAGCCACATATGCACTAGCTGGCTGTCATCATATTTATTTCTGCTGTTTGATTGCATTATAGGCTGTTAGATTAATCTATACAGAGTAAAAATGTCTTGAGCTTATTTGTTACAAATTTGCATATTATGCACAGTATGCATGCTAAATATACTAAACAAATATTAGTATGGTAGTATGCTATTCCAAACATAACCTCTGTCTGTGTTACATGTGATATGCCACATTTTTAAGGATTTTTGTGGGTCACCATTCTGAACGTCCCTCAAGCGCTAACTTCCCCTATGTCTGCTGGAATGCTCTCCAACCCGTCGGCTTTGTTTCTTTGCACGAGTTACTGAGCCGATGCCATGGGGGCAGACGGCCAGAGGATCAGGTTCTGCTACTATTGTCCTGCCTGAGTTTCACTGCATATGAAATTTTGAAAGCTCTTCAGATGGGTTTGGAGCTCTGAGGGACTTTGGAGTGTTTTATTTCAGAAGAGTCTGGAACTATCACATGACAAGCTCTTGAACTTTGACCGCTGTTAGAGGCATGGATGCTGTCAGACTGTGTGGAGTGGACAGAACGGCACTGTTTTGATTTTACACAAGCGACGAGGATCCAGCCATGTTATTGAGCTGCTAAAGAGAGCATGACTGCATGTTCTTCTGCTAAGCGCCTGAAAGAAAAATCTCAAGACCACAGCCATGGACCCGCTGGTGGATATCGCACCATAAATCCTGCTTTTCCTACGCTTCAGGTAACAAGACTTTTCCAAAAAGAGGGATCGGCAGCCTTTTAAAGGAATGACTAAGTAAAAGCGGGAAAAAATGCTTGAAATGTGAATTGTATCCAGCAGGACATTTTTATATGGTAAAAGGCCTGAACTATGTTGAGGCCTGAACTATCTTTACTCATCATTTCTCTCTATGTGTTTTACAATTCACTCATCTGGTTAGCAGCCGTTTAATATAGGTTTGAGGCTGGTTATTTAAAGGGGTCATATGATGCGATTAAAATTTTTCCTTTCTCTTTGAAGCGTTACAAGCTCTTGGTGCATAAAGAAAAGTTGCAAAGACTAAAGTCTCAAATCCAAAGAGATATTCTTTATAAAAGTTAAGAGTCAACCACGCCTACCTAAAACGGCTCGTTCTAACACACCCCCATATTTTTATGTCACGATGTGGGAAGATTTGCATAACGCCGCCCAAATGTTCACGCAAAGAAAGAAGGTGTAACTTTTATTCTCACTGTAGTATTGTTGCTGCCGCTGCCATGTCGCAGAGAATCTGTGTGTTTCGTTGTGAAATCGAAACTACTTTGTTTGGCCTTCCAAAAGAGGACGATATCCGCTTCGTCATGCCTAGAGCTGATCCGTGCTGGTCGCTGAGGAAATACGTCAACTTTGCGCTGTGGATCGCCGGATCGGCTTTCACCGTGGACGAAGCGGAGTCCAGCCCGGGGTCGTCACATGTGGTTGCCGCAAGCCCGCCGGCCACGCCGTTCTCTAGCCCGCCGGCTGCCGCTCACTCTAGCCCACCGTGTGTTTCGTTGTGAAAGCGAAACTACTTTGTTTGGCCTTCCAAAAGAGGACACGACTAGAAATCAGTGGTTAAGTTGTATTTACAACACTGTTCCAGAACAGTTCAACCCAAATATTCACATGTGTGCAGCGCATTTTATGGAGGACTGTTTCCTGATCCTGGTAGAGTAGACTACAATGCCGGCTGTTCTGACTCACAGACTGTAAGTACGTTTTTTATATTTAAAGAATTTGCCACTGACAAGTTTTTGACTCTACTAAAGCATAAAAATACCATAATATGTTTGCAGATATTTAAGAAACATGCTAAGTTAACATACTTGTTTATCTGAAAAACAATGCTACAGTCAGTTATTCTCCTTTGAAAATGTGCGTTCCGGGCCGGGATGTCGGTCTCTGTTTTGGTTTGTAAAACCCGCCCACTGCCAGTTTAGCCAATTGTATTTCGGCATCCCGGGTTGCCAGTTGGAGTGAAAACAGAACGTATTTAATTTCATTCATCGTCAAGTGCGCTCGTTCCTGTTGGTGTCGTCAATCTGGCAACCTGCATGTGCGTCAAGTCTGAGGAGGAGGGGCTGGGTGAAAAAAGCCCTCTCCAATATTTTGAATTTGGACTGCAATACCTAGTTCAACCACTTGGTGTCAATCCTACATACAGCACCTTTAAAATCAATAATTTGTGTTTGTTTGACCAAGGCCAGAACAGTTATGGCATGCAGATTTTATTTTTTATGATTTATATTAATGATTTAATAATAGTTTTTCTTGTTTTTATTTCTCACTCTTATTTTATTCTATATTACTTTATCTTATTTTATAATTTAATTTGACTATTTTATTTTGTTTTATTATTTTTACTTTGTTTTATTTTATTATTCAAATTTTTAAATTTAATTTGTTTATTTTATTTAATTTATTTTAATTCTATTTTATTTTTATTTTATTATTACTTTAATTTGACTATTTTTATTATTTTTTACTTTGTTTTATTTTATTATTATTTTAGTTCATTTGAATTGTATTTATTTTATTTTAACTCCATGAAATTATTTTCCTTTCCTCTGTTGATGTATTTCCTGTTCCAACAGGAAGTTTATGCAGGACACATTTTTAAAGGGTTTGTTCTTCCAAAAGGGGCTCATCCTTCTCACCCTAATCCGTAGTCATGGGAAATCTGGCAATACCATGGCAGTTAAAAAAATACATGCTTGAGAAGCTCATGGAAATGAATAAAATGTCAAAAAGCATTTTATTGGGCAAAATGTTGTGTATAGTCCGCAATATTATGTTCAAATGTATATTTATGCAAAGTTTATGGATTGATGTTTCGGAAAGTCTTTGTCATGTTTGGTCAGAATGTTTTGTTGGATTAAGGGGCATCATTATGCATGTTCTTCTAGTTCCTCAGAGTTTATGGTTTATCAGGTGGTTTGCTCCATTTTTCCAGACTCCATTCGGTTAGACTTATTTCACAAAGTCCCAATGACCGAGAGCATTCATATTCTGTGTCTGCCTGGTTTCTTTCTAGAGCTCAAAGTCCACAAGAATCACCGCAGACCTTTTGAACCCACAGCTTATTTTTGTCATTTAAGTGCAGCTTTGGCAGCTGCAGAGCTGATGAGGAGTGACACAACTGGAATCAGTCAGCAGATATACGTGTTTTGATTAATAGCATGTCTGATATTAATAGCCCTGAATTTCATATCGTAATGAGTTGTCGACTATTGTTTTATTATTATTGGCAGTGCTGTATATTATATTATGTAATATTACAAAGGCTGTCAGGGTTTGATGAGATGTGTGCCATGGCTATTATAGTTAACTAAAAAAAAAAAAAAGAGAGAGAAATGAAATAAACTAACTATATATTTATATAAAAAAACTAATAAAAATGACAAAACACATATTATACATTGTAAAAATAAAAACTAAGTTAAAATAAAATGTGATAATCTATGTATGGATATTTAAAAAACAACTGATAATGACAAACATACAAAAATTACAATCACAATTACTAAAACTTTGAAATGAAAACTGGAAATATTAAAAAATCATTAAAACTGTATACATTTAAAAATAATGACAAAAACACAAATTAAAGAATTAAAATAAACTTGAATATAACTAATATAATATAAATATAACTATCATATAAAATCTAATTGAAATATAAATATAAATTATTATAAAAACTCATTTAAAATATTAATAAAAACTTAATATTAGTAAAACTATTTCATTTAGAATTAAAATTTAAATGAAAATCGATAGAAACTACATATACTAAAAAAAATTTTTTTGAAAACACAACTAACACTTTGCCTAAAATTAAAATCAAAACAGAAAATATAAAAATTAAAATGAATTCAAAATGTTGGTAAACATTATAATAGATACAAAATAGATTTTTAAAAAAACACTGTTTGCTGTTTGAGTACATCTGTGACTTTTAAGAGGTTTTAATGTTAAGCAAAAAGGTAAATGAAACGCAGCCTGTATCACAAAGCCTCATCTCTCATGCGGTTGGCTAATATTTTGGAGTTATAAAAGGGCAGTACTGTAAAAGATTAACAGTGCAAAGTTGAATCGCTTGAGTGAGTCTGCTAGCAAATATTTGCTGACTTTCCTCATGCATGTGTCAGGAGATCCGTCCCGATGTCTCCATCAACCATTAACAATCTCTCTTTCTCTTCCAGTGTTGTTCCAGCACCACTGCCACTGGCTATTGATAAGGTAAGCACTCACGACTGCCTTGTTCATGCATTATATATGAGCTTGGTTTTTCCAAATTAAACATTGGTCATGAATGAATGTTTTCCAGTTCATTATGATCCTGTTTTTTGGATATCAAACAGCATGCAGCTTTGCCATGTTGTCTCAAAGCAGCTGTCTTATGAATGCCATTGATTTCCAAGTCCTAGCTTTGAATCAACACCTAGCATTACGTGCCGCTATCTGAGGTTTGCATGTGGCTCTCCTCTCCGTCAGTCTGTTACATGGTGTATTTGTGAACAATCCTGGAGGTGGTCCAGATGAAGTTAGATAATGCAGTTATCCTCTCATGCCATCCTCTGTGTGGGATTCCTCTGTGGAGCTTTAACAGGGAACAGTTGGGTTGTGTTGGCGATTCATTCCCAGAACAGAGGTGTCTTTCTTTAGAAGTTTTAAATATGTACTCATGCTTAATCGTGTTAGTGTTTAAACAGGAATATAATAGCATTGTTCATTCGGTGCTTTTGGTGCATCTAGAGTCAAATGCTATTACTGACACAATGTTGATCAGTTCTCAACAACACCAGACACGCCTGATTCCCAATTCACATACTGTCTGTATTACGTAATTTAGTGCATTACTAAAGTGATTTGTTTAAGGTAAGGTTGTTTGAAGTACACTACCAATTAAAAGTTTCAGGCTAGGACATTTTTAATGCGTCTATAAAAAGTATCTCATGTTCTCCAAGGCTGCAATTAATTAATAAAAAAATACATTAAAATTAAGTTAAAAACAAAGATTCAGTGAACTGGCCTTGATATGCTATGTTTATTTTGTATTTATTTTATATATATATATATATATATATTTGAATTTATAAATTCAAACTCACCTTGATATGTACTATATTAATAATTAGTAAATTATTCCTGTGATGGCAAAGCTGAATTTTCAGCAGTCATTACTCCAGTCTTCAGCTACTTTTGATCAATTTAATCTGTTCTTTTTGAAAAAAAAAGTATTAATTTCAGTCAAACAACAAAAATAGTTTGTTTTCAACTAATATTGCTCAACTTCTTACGCTATAGAAAACAAGAAGTTGTGACTCTGCTACAGCGATTTTTAAATAATAATAATAATAATAATTCCTTACATTTATATAGCGCTTTTCTGGGCACTCAAATGTAGTGTAATGTATTGTGTACTAAATGTAGAAACTTTAAAATGAAGTAGTAATGAATGAATGTTTAAGGGAGTGTGTTTGGAATTCAGTCAGAGGTTTGAACTCTGGCAGATGGATTAGGAAAAACAATTGGCGGATGACATCAGTCTGCAGAGTGATGACATCATCTGCATCTGTGATGATGACAAGAACATGCATGTGTAAATCATTACATCAGCGCTCTCAGAGTCTTTGTCTGTTCTAATGAAGGCGTTGTGGATGGACTGGCCTGGTGTCCCCCTTAAACCCCCCCTTAAATTAATGCAGATCTGTCAATGTCGTGTCCGTTTCCAGATGCATATAGCGCTTCTATATCTGACCCGCAGCATCTGACGCTGTCAATATAAAAAATACTCCTTCCGCCTTCTCTGCTGTGGGAGCGTCTCCTCATGTGGATTCAATAAATGTAACTAATCTTGAGTCACGATTTCATTATTTGGATCATTGTGGTTACAACTGCTAGGAATGAGGCAATTCAATTTAAGAGCTGCATATGAGGAACAAGGCCCCTATTGATTTAGACTGGGATTATCCAAGGTTATTTGATAGTTTTCACCTTTTCAGATGAGGTTTCTTTTGGTGAGACTGAAAGCTGCTTTAACTGTGCTGCTGATTCAGATGTATCAAGGACAGCGTGTGAAAAGATGCTCAGTAGATTCAAAGAGTTTTATGGAGGCATGCAGATCTGCGATTGTGAGATGGATACACTGTGTGCAGAGATGTCTCTTTTTCACTGTGTTTTTTTCTTTCTGGCATGCAGGTGTCCGCAAATACACCCAGTATGTATTCTCAGGAACTGTTTCAGCTCTCCCAGTACCTGCAGGTATGGAGCAACACTGACCTCTACTGGCCATCTAAAGACATTAAGTCCAAATGCAAAGATTTTGCAAGTTGGGATATTTATCTATGAACCATATAATGGTTTACATAATAATACATAATAAACATAATACATTTCATAATAATAATAATGATGATAATTATTATCATTAGTCAAATAAATGCAGGATTAATTATATTATTTAAAATTTATTTACTATATATTTTGTAGTGTATGTAATATGATATATATATGTATTATAACATTAACAATATAAACAATAATATATGTATTATAACATTATGTATGTAATATCTATTGCATTTTATAGTGTATATATAATTCAGTATATTACTGTCTCAAAATTCTCTAAAATGCTGCATTTATTTGATGAAATATACAGGAAAAACTGTCAAATTTTAAAATATTACAATTTAAAATAGCTGTTTTATATTTGAATATATCTTAAAATATTAATTATTCCTGTGACGCAAGGCTGAATTTTCAGCGGCCATTACTTCAGTGATTCTTCAGAAATCATTCTAATATGCTGATTTGCTCATTTTATTTATTCATTTATTTATTTAATCATTCATTCGTTTTTGTGAAGAAAAAAAATCTTAATAGATTGATTAATCGAACAATAGAATTTTAAAAATAGATATTTATGTAACAATATTATAGACTTTACTGACACTTTTACTCAATTTAATACATCCTTGCTGATTAAAAGTTTACTTTTGTTTAAAATATATCTTTTGAATAGTATACATATTAGAAATCTGATAATGTTGGTGTGTTTGTGTCCTTCAGGAGGCCTTACACAGAGAGCAGATGCTGGAGCAGAAGTTGGCCACTTTACAGAGGCTGCTTGCCAGCACACAGGAAGCATCAGAGAGCAGCTGGCAGGTACATCACACATCGCAATTAAAGAGAGACCATTATTAATTATTCAATACAGATGGCTGTTTATAGGCATGTTTAGTAGTGCTCAGAATATGTTACAATTATGATTGTTTGTTTCACTATACTACTGTGTTTGTCATGATAACAGAGTCTGTTTATGTGTCTTTAAGGCTTTAATCGATGAAGACCGGTTACTCTCTAGATTGGAGGTGATGGGGAATCAGTTGCAAGCATATTCAAAAGTAAGGCCTATGTATGCTTGAGTATTTGGATGTGTGCTCACAGAATATAGTTTCTGCTTCACCAAAGCATGTTGTTTCCTCAGAACCAAACAGAAGACAGTATCCGAAAGGAGCTTGTAGCCTTAACAGAGGACAAACACAATTACGAGACGACAGCCAAAGAGTCCCTGAGGCGGGTCCTTCAGGAGAAAATTGAGGTGGTGAGGAAGCTGTCCGAGGTGGAGGTAAAAACACAACAAAATTGTTTATTAATTCCTAAATGAAAGGGCTATTCTAAAGAGCTATATTTTTATACATATATGCATGCTGCATTTACCTAATTAAACGTACAGAAACAAAACCGTAATATTCTGAAATATTGTTAGTTTAAAAAAAGCTGTTTTGCTATTTGAATATATTTTAATATCAAATTTATTCCTGTGATGCAATGCTGAATTTTCAGCATTATTACTCCAGTCATCAGTGTCACGTGATCCTTCAGAAATCATTCTAACATGCTGATTTTGCTGCTCAAGAAAAAGCCATATGCAACTTGCAGTCTATGCATATAGATTTTACCCTGGTAAAGGAGGATTTAGATGTAAAGCATCATAGCCAGTTATATCCATTGCATGTTTTCTGTTGTGTTTCAATTGATCTGTTATTGTATTGCAGAGGAGTTTGAGTAACACAGAGGACGAGTGCACACACCTGAGAGAGATGAACGAACGCACACAGGAGGAGCTCAGAGAACTCGCCAACAAATACAACGGAGCCGTCAATGAAATCAAGGATCTCACCGAAAAGATCAAGGCATGTCTGACCTTCACCCACTGACACACCCGAAATGAAGATTTTCTGAAAATGTGCTCATCCTCAGGCCATCCAAGATGAGATTGTTTCTTCATCAGATTTGGAGAAATGTAGCATTACATCTCTTGCTCACCAGTGGATCCTCTGCAGTGAATGGGTGCCGTCAGAATGAGAGTCTAAACAGCTGATAAAAACATCACAATAATCCACAAGTAACACCACTCCAGTCCATCAGTTAACGTCTTGTGAAGCCAAAAGCTGTGTGTTTGTAAGAAACAAATCCATCTGGCATCTGGCTAAAATATGAGTCCATAATCCATGATAACACTGACTCCAGTGAAAAAGTGGTCTGGTCTGAATCAGGAGAGAATTCTCTTTCCTTTTTTTTTTTTTTTTTTGGAGTTTGTGGTTTTTGATGTGAAACGACAACAGGAGATGGACTTTTCCACTGGATGTTACAAAATGTCTTTTGATGTTTTCACTTCATGCAATGTTAATTGATAGACTGGAATGGTGTGGATTACTTGTGGATCATTGTGATGTTTTTATCAGCTGTTCGGACTCTCATTCTGACGGCACCCATTCACTGCAGAGGATCCATTGCTGAGCAAGTGATGGGATGCTAGGGTTTCATTTCTCTAAATCTGAAACAAACTCGCCTGCATAATAGATGGCCTGAGTTTGAGTAAACTTTTAGAAAATGTTAATTTTTGTGCTAACTATTCCTTTACATTTCTTAATGTTTATGTTCAGTTGGCAGAGGGCAAACATGAGGAGCTCACTCAGAAAGGCCTGAATGAGAAGAAAGAGCTACAGCTGAAGATCGAAGAGATGGAGGAGAAAGAACAGGTGCTTCAAGCTCAAATCGAAGCTCTGCAGGCGGACAACGACTTCACGAATGAGAGACTAACAGCCCTGCAAGGTAAAACACACAAGCATGCTATATTTCTCTCAGTTGAGAACGGTGGACTCCCTTATCATGGTAACTAAATAGATGAAACAGGTTGAGGAGGAGCATCTGTCAGTATAGAGCTCTTGTTTTTATTTTTGGTCATCCCAAACTCGTTGTCGTTTTCCAGTCCGGTTAGAACAGCTGCAGGAGAAAAGCATAAAGGAAAACAACAGTTTAGGTGAGTTGGAGACGCATGCGTCTGCTAGTGTGCTGCTAACCTTGCATCGCCTCCTTGACTAATTCAGCATGGGAGCTTGCCTTTGGTTGCCTGTTTTTCATTTTTCGTTCTGTCTCTCCTTCTTTCTGTCTGTCCGGCTTTGCTTCCATTCTGTCTCGAAGGCCTTGAACTTTTGCATTGAGCATGTGTGTTCAAGTCTGCGCCTCTGTATACAGTTTAAGACCCCCCCCCCCATTTGGCCGTTTCTCGCCAAGTTAATTTATTTCTCAGTACAGAAGCGAGGTAGTTTAAACAATCTGAACGGATTGGCCTGTTTAGTTATTTATACTAGGCTTCTTGCTTGATGATAAGTTCTGAATGTTCAGGAGGACCCATTTTAATGTGCCACATTGCTAATTATTGATATTATTAATATCATTTAGTCAGTGTTTAATTAGGGCTGGCACTAAACTCTGCAGGAAGATTGGACACCCCTGCTAAGGCATATAGTAAGGCACTAGGGTTTGAAACGTTGCCCAAGAATCGCTTGGTTATTTATATTCCTGAACTGATTTCTAGTACTATATTCTCTGGCAATAATATGAGAGGCAAATGAAACTACTGATGTGGTACGCCACAGACCACAAACCTCTTGGCAGAGATGTTTCACTCGCTGAACTGTCCCTTTATCATTCATTTCTGATCTTAGGAATGATTAGAATGGCATAACATGGGGTTTTTACTTCAATAAGACCTTAGTTGAGAACATCAGCCTGTGCAAAGCTGAAAGTGACTGAAAACTTCAAAGATGCTGTCGTTTGGCATCAAAATGTGTGGTTGTTAAACCACGAGTGATGTGCACGTCATTACACAACAAGTTGTTTTGTTGTTAAGAGCATAACTGTACAGGAAACTGACTTAAAGCTTTTTTAATAGGGCAGCCAGATTGGAAACTATAGAAGATTATAGGGCTGCACGATTTGGGGGATAATGTAATTGCGATTTTTCTGATAAAAAAAAAATGTGATTGCGATATGAAATTATTTATTTATTTTAGTTTCTGGTTTTATGTGCTTGTTTGTAGGGCTTCACAGTTTGCAAAAAAAAATATCTATTTGATTCTAAAATAATATAAATAAAAATCAATAAAACAATAAGATAATAATATTCATATTCATAAGTTAATCTTATTACTACTGCTACTAAATAAAACAAAATTATAAATATTGCTATCATAATGATATTCCACTGTAAATAAAAAAAAATCATGAATTAAAGAATAATACAACAGTTAACCAAATAAATGCTGTGATTTTATTTTACAGACTTCAAAATTACAATACTAATATTTATGCCATTTTTTATTTATTTTCCAAGTGATAAGATTAAGATTATTTTGAAGATTTTATTTAGAAGATTCCCAGACAGATTCAGTGTTTCTGAAACATTTTAAATGGAATAATTTACAAAAACATAGCAATTTAATTTTTACATTTTCTATTAATTATTCATTTACAAAAACATTGTTTTATTTTTTTATATGCAATTTAATTTTTACATTTTCTATTAATTATTTTTATTTTTTATTTCTGTAATGAGTTTCAGGTTTGCTGTGCTTGTTTGTAGGAATGCAAAATTTGGCCATGAAATTGTAGTAATATACCAATATGTATAAAATAATAAGAATAATAATCAGTTATTATTATTGTTGTTTGTAGTAGTAGTACAAAATTAGAAGTATTACTATTGTAATAATACTGTTTCGCTGTAAATAAAAAAGTATTCAAGAAAAGTAATGTAACCATCATTTTATTTTACAGTATAACTATAAAATTACATTGCTAATATTTATAGCTGTCTCAATTTCTTTGATTTTAAACGTTTTGAGGATTTTATTTGGAAGATTCCCAGCCAAATTCAGTATTTATGAAACTTGAAAGAGGAGGAATCATCTGCTAAAACATGACCCTTGATTTTTTTAGTACCAGACCTCCATGTCGCAGTGTCTGTCCCTGAGGTGACAGGTGAATGACAGGTGTCAGTCAGTCTCTTCAGGGCAGTGAGGCGTCTCCCGTCTGTGTCCTTGTCCTGCCCTCTGCATCTCTGTTTGGTTCCGTCTCATGTTGTATCCTGTAGATCTGGCTTCTGTTTTAATATCATCTGATGCCCCTCGATGTGGGATTTCTTCCATTTGCTGTTCATTTAATGGAGGGTTTTTCTTTCTTTGGTAGACCACTTTCTTTTAAAGAGTGGAGGAGACTGCACTTTAATCCAACAGTACATTGAGTGTCAATGTGAGTACACCGCATTCTTTCCAACGTCTTCCTCAGCCGTACTAATGAACCATCTTATGAGCACCAAAGCAGGTTTACTCTGTAAAGTGAGGAAGGTGTTTACAGGGACATGACCTTAAGCACCGCCCTGCATCATATTTGCTCAATATGCTTCTTTATTACTAATCTTGAGGTGCTGATTTAAAAAATAGTGCCTGTTTTAATCAAGCACATCGCAGTTTTTCACAAAATTTGTAGAATTTTTATTTTTGAGAAGCATTAGTAAGGTGAAGTTGTCTTGTATTGTCCCTTAATCAGCAGAAAAACACCATAAAGACATGATTCCTGTCTTCCTCTGAGCCAGATTACAAATATTTGTTCAATTCTCAGCCAGTTTTCACATGTATTATTAATTCTGCAGATGTTATTTTATTTCTAATGCTGGTTTCCACTCTTTTGTATATTAAAATGACATGTTTTGAATACTTTTTTTCATTAAAACTTTTGACATTTGACTGCTTTTGTTATTTTGATAAATGGATAATTTCAAATTAATTAGAAAAATCTTTATTGCTATTTGAATGTGATGGTTTTTATTGATATTTTTGAACTCGGCATCATCAAATTAGGTCACAGTAGGCCTTTTTTTGGTTTGTTTCAAAATGCAGGGCTATATATTTAAATTTTTTTGCATTTGCAATGAATTTAAAGTCTTTTGTCCTTTGGTGATACTTAGGGGTGTGCGATGTGACGATTTTTGATCGTGGATGATTAAAATGTCTCCAAGATTTGCTTTTGAAGAAATATCGTAGCATCGTGCTACAGCGCACATTCTATCAGTTGCAGTTCTGGTGCCTCTGTCTCAATATACTGTACAACGCCACATGCATTCACATCAGTATTAACTCAGCGGTAGAGTAACACTCACGGGACACTGCACTTATTCACAATCACAAAAGTACATTATTTGTATGTGCTTTAAAGCCTTGCCGGTTAAATGTTTCATTCACGTGCTGTTCTGACGTGTGCTTTTTCTGAGCATGTACACCCGAAGAGCGCGCACTAAAAAGCCTGTCAAACAGCGCCTGATTACTGGACTAAGTTATCTTTTGCGCGAATACTGGCAAAACACACAAGGTTTACATATAGACTCAGTTGGTTATGTCTAAAATGAAAGTAAACAGTTGAGAGAGAAACGGATACGTGCCTGTATATTTGACGCGTGCAGCTCTTAAAGGGACAGTACTGAACATGCAGCTGACTGTCATTAAAGGGATAGTTCACCCTAAAATTTATTTCTGTCATTATTTACTCTAACATGTTGTCCCAAACCTGCATTAATTTCTTTCTTGTGCTGAACACAAAAGAAGATATTTTGTAGAATGTGGGTAACCAAACAGTTGCTGGTCCACATTGAATTTAGAAATAGCATTTATGTTCAGCAGAAAAAAGAAACTCATTCAGGTTTAAAACAACATTTGAGTAAATGATGGTATAAAAATTATTTTTGGGTGAATTATTCCGTTAATGTTTATAAAACAACAAAACTCACTCACTACACTTGACTGAAAAACTTTAATACAGTTGCTTTAATAGGAATCAATCTATATGGTGTTTTATTTTTATATTTATTCATTCAATTTCTTGAATGCTCCTGCTAAATACACCTATTGTACCTGAAAATTAAACCTTGTTTTATTTGTATATTATGTGTAGTTGTAATGTGTATTTTTGTTCTCATTTTTTAATAACAAAGATAAAATAATGACACAGATTTTTATCTTTGCCCACTTTGGCTTAAATATCTGCCATTCTTTTTTATATCTTGTTAGCTTGAAAGGCTTTGTCTTTATAATAGGGAAATTAGTTTGGCTGTAATGCTCCGACAACTTGCAAAATAGTAAAACCAACATGACAAAGAATCGTGATAAAATCGTGATACGATATTTTTTTTGCCATATCGCGCACCCCTAGTGATACTAGAGAATTTTTTTCCATATGCGGTTCGTTAAATATTATCTTAGTAAATCTTGTTTTTAGAGTGCATGCTAGTGGTTCTTAAATCTTTCTGTGGTGTTGTACATTCAACAAGCAATTCACTGTGAACAAATTACTCTTATGAACTGGTTCTTTTTAATTCAGAAAGATTTACAAATCAGTGTTAAATTCAAAAGTGGGTTTGAATCCGACTCGGTAAATTATTCAGAACCATTATCGAGTTCAAAAATCATTTTAAACCAAGAAACATTCGTTATTAAATATTATTTTTTCATTAGAATCAGCATTGATTTTTCAGACTCATTGATTGTTCAGATGACATCTTATTAAAAATGTATATTCACAACAGACGTGCATAATAAAATAATGAATTGTTTAAAAAAATAAATCCAAGTACTTCAATTTCACAGAAATATTATTGGCTGTTGTCTAGCATAGTGAAGCCCAGTCGAATAGACTGTCCGTGACATGTTGGAAATGTATAATGGAAAGACCCCTTTTTTTTTTTCTTTTCTTTTTTTTAAAGATTTCTTTTTTGGTGTTTTTGCCTTTTATTGATAGGATAGTAGTGAGACAGGAAGCGAAGTGGGAGAGAGGGGGGATGGGATCGGGAAAGGTCCACGAGCCGGGACTCGAACACGGGACGCCCGAAGCGCAATGGCGCTACATGTCGACGCGCTGCCCATGAGGCTATCAGCGACTCCCCCCCCCCTTTTTAATAGGAAGAAATATGCAGTCATCTTTATCAAGTGATTTTGTCATTTGGAGGCTAAAATGTGTTTTGGTGTTGACTGTCTATTTAAGCGCCTCGTTCCAGATCTGGTGAAATGCTGGCTTATTTTCTGACTTTCATTCAGCTTGTAATGATTAAAACATTGTTTGGCGTATGCTTTGGTTTGTACTTCAGCTGAAGTTAGTTCTAGTTGGATCTTCCTTAAGCAATTTTGGAAAGTTATATTGCTGTTTTTGTTTTAAGTCATAAAGTTCAACACACCATGCTATATGTGAATACATCACACTATATTGCAGAACGGAGAGGCTCTCAGGATCTGTTGTATAATCTGAAATCTGTATGTGGAGATCAGATCAGATCAAGTGAATATCCTTCTCCAAACTCGACATGGATTCTTAACGAAACACCCTTGCATGCTGTCTGTTCTCACTTCACCTCCAGCTGATGGATTTTCTCTATTCCCGGGGATTTTCACTCTCACCAGCATGTGTTCTGAAGTCTATGAGCTTCCACTGATGCTTTTCATGTATCATTTTTGCTTTGTTCTGTATGTATGGAAAAAACTACAAATGCAGTTTTGCTGCTGCTGATACTGTATTCAGTTGGGCTGCATCAGTGTCATATAATGACTGAGATTTGATATTTAATGCTAAATATTTAATAGATGCACCAGGTGAGCAAGAAGACAGATATACTGAAATGCTTTTTCTCTTTTTTAACCAGCGGTGAGGCAGCTGAAGGAAGCGGTGGACTCATCCATTAACAAGCTGTCCAACTTTGATGGTAAGACCACATATTGTGTTTTTATCGATTTATTGGGAAAGACACTAAGGCCGTTTTCACACTTTTGAGGTTCATTTGAGGTGAACCATTCGTGGACTCGAGAATGGAGCAGAGACCTGACATGTTTTCCTGTTTTATTCCACAGAAGTCATTGATGCGCATCTCCAGAATAACCAGACGACAGTGGACAACAGCTTGGCCAGTCCAGACAGGCTTAAAGGTATCATCACATTTCTGTCACTTTCATCGAAGTTTAATCAAATCTGTTTCTTTCTAGATTAAGCTCGGTTATAGGGAACATCACACTGGTATGATGCAATCTGATGGCAATGGAGGCACATGGTTTCACCCTGACCTCTATTTAAAACCAAATTAAACAACTGCGCTCTCTGGGTGGCAGGAATGAGCATTGTGGCTATTTTTAGCATCCTCAAAGAGCATGACCAGGTCAGGGTCATTACTGTAATGAGCTCTAATAAGATCATCATCATCTGTGGAGTTTTAGCTAACTGTCTATTATTATTATTATTATTATTATTATTATTATTATTAAAATAAGAGTAGGTATACTAGTTGGGAATTTAATTTACATTTAAAAGAGTTTAAATCAGTTGAGCCTAATAATAATAATAATAATAATAGATAAAAACCAAATCATTTTTTGTAACCTTTTCGTTTCTGCTTTAAAATGTTTAAAATCATTGATCTTAATAAATCATCATCATCATAACAGGTCAAAAAGAAAAAAAATACAAATAAGCTGTTTGTTGTAACAATTTGTTTACACATTAAAATGTTTAAATCTATTTTGCATAATAATAATAAGTTTAAAACAAACTATTTTTTTTTATATTTAAATACATTCAGCCTAATAATAATGATATTAATAGATAAAAATAACAAAAGCTATTTGTTGTAACTTTTTCATTTACATTTTAAAATGTTTAAATCTATTCTATGTAATAATAATTGGTAAAAGAAAAAGTTACCTATTTGTTGTACTTTTTTCATTTACATTTTAGAATTTTGCACCATTCTGCCTAATAATAATAATAATAATAATAATAAAGTTTAAAACATATTTATTGTAAACTTTTTTGTTTACAATTTAAAATCTTCCGGCTCATTCTGCCTAATAATAATAATAATAATAATAATAATAGGTTTAAAACAAACTATTTGTTGTACATTTTTCATTTACTTTTAAAAACTTTTAAATCCTTTCTGCCTAAAAATAATAATGATGATAATAGATAAAAAGAACAAAAGCTATTTGTTGTAACTTTTTCGTTAACATTTTTAAATGTTTAAATGCTATAATCAGAGTAAATTCACTCTGGACCAGGTTATAACCTTATGAAAGCTTATGAATGAGGTGGCATTTAGACCTTGACCCCGTCCTCTTTGTGCTGTTCTTGTGTGTCTGACCTCTCACAGCTGCTGGGGCGTCTGACCTTGACCCCTCAATTCTCTTCAGATTAGAGTCTGAGATTATGGCCACACAGATTAGACCATAATTCACCGGTCAACCGTTACCTATGACGACATCATTTAGTTTTCATCCATTCAGTCCCACTGAGTCACTGTTTGTTCGCTACACTGTGCTTATTCATGGAACACTGAGTTCAGAAGATCTATCATGTGATGTAACTGCAGGATGGGTGGTTTTTCAGGTCATATATTGATTTAAATGTGCAACGTTTGGCCTGATGTCTGAGAGTAATGGAAATATCTAGACAGCATTGACTGATAGTGATTTTTTGATTGACATTTACAACTTTCATACTGAAAATTTGAGGTGCCATTCATTCATATCCGATGATGCATGAACATGTTGCCAGTAGTTTTCTTTAGACCGGCGTCACCTCTTCCTGTTCAAACCACATTTATAACTCTCTTTAGTCCACATGGATACTACAGCAGCGCAAAACTAAATCTGCAACTAGTTTAGCATGTGACTGTATGTCCCATTGGAAGCCCAGGTCACTCAAATGACCATGTGTGGGCAATAACTACCACCAGCCAGAGAGGATGAACTACAGGGGGCTCATTCACTGCCTGCTATTGTAGACCAAGAGTAATTGTGATTAATATATAAACAGCCATCAAACACACTCCTGTTTGGATATAGGTACTGAAGCAGAGAGCCTGGTAAAGGTTGTGATCGCTGTATAGTTATGCTTATTTTAATGTTGTTTTGAGTTATGATTGTGTCCCCCCTCTCCTCTAAGTGGTCTCTTCCGCTCTGCCTCCATAGAAAACCAAGTAGACGCTAAAGAGTGCGATATGTCAGATACTCTGAGCCCCAGCAAGGACAAAAGCAGTGACGACACATCAGGTACGTGAAACATGGACACATTTGTAATGTATGAATTACTGTGTTTTGGTTACTACAGCTTTCATTGATACATCCCACTTTTTTCCCCAGATATAATAAGTATTATATGAAAAACATATATTAACAAAAAATATATTTATCTTATAAGTTATAGCTTATGTAAACGTGGTCTGATTTATTTTATTGTCTTTTATTCATGGTTTTTTGTTTGATCTGTGTGATCTTTTTGTCTTTCCTTTATTTTTTATTTTTGCTTTCTCTTTAATTTTTTCTTTCTTTCCTTCAATTTTTGTTCTTTCTCTTTTCATTTTTTTTATTTTTTTTGTTTTCATGTTTTTATTTGTCTTTGTTAGTTTCTTTGTTTCTTTCTTTCTCTTTTTTTCATGTTTTTATTCTTTCTTTCCTTCATTTTTTTGTTCTTTTCCTTAAATTTTTCCATGTTTTATTCTCTTTTTTTGTTTTCATGTTTTAATTTGTTTTTTCTTTTTTTTTTTCTTTTTTCTTGCCTTTTAATTTTTTCATATTTTTATTCTTTCTTTCATTCTCTCATTTCAGACGGACAAATGGATGAACAAGAACTGAACGAGGCCCAGAACAGGGTTTCTCTTCTGAAAGGTAATCCCTCCATTCTTTTGTGTGGAAGTTTTCTTTTCAGCTTCCCTGTCTGAAACGCCAGTGCTGATGTGGGCGTGTTTGTGTGATTTGGCTGGCCTGAACTGTTAGTCACCCTCTTTATCTGCACTCATTAGAGCTCAGGGGACTGGCATGCGGCAACAACTGTGCAGCTTAACAGGGTGTGTTATTCCCCAATCTGACTATATATGGTCTGCATCTGCTGGAGGTGACAGCGGTGGGACCCAAAGGTGTCCTCCTGGCAGGTGTCTCAGCGTCATCCTGGTTTATCTCCCTCCCTCAGATCGTTCCCCTCGCCCCACTTTATGTTCCACTGGAGGACAGTCTGGAATATAAACCAATTACAGCCCAATTAGACACTGAGTGCTTTCACAATGTCACGTACAGCTGCCGCTCAGACGTCTGTCAGTCAGAAGAAGGGTTGCTTTCAACTGATACAATGTATCACTTTTTAGAAATTCTAAATGTGTTTAGTGTTACATTTTAAAACCTTCAGAGTAACTTTAAACAGATATTCCACCCAAAGCTGAAAAATCTGTAATCATTTACTTGTTTACTTTAATGCTGTTCTAAATTCTGTATGACTGACTCTCTTTTATGGGACACAAAACTAATATATTTTATTCATTGGGGTCCCAACATTCCTCAAAAAATCTTCTTTTGTGTTATGAAGAGGAAAGTCATATTTAGAACCACATGAGGATTAGTAAATGGTGACAGTATTATCTTTTACTGGATTGTCCCTTTAATTTGATTGGATTTTTAATGCAACCTAAGAATATTGCTCAAACTTTGGCTTTGCACAAAGCACCAAAAAAAAAAA